ATGCATACACGTTAATGGGACACCGAGGCAAACACATCAAATGGGACACCGAGGCATACACGTTAATGGGACACCGATGCATACACGTTAATGGGACACCGAGGCATACACGTTAATGGGACACCGATGCATACACGTTAATGGGACACCGATGCATACACGTTAATGGGACACCGAGGCATACACGTTAATGGGACACCGTGGCATACACGTTAATGGGACACCGTGGCATACACGTTAATGGGACACCGATGCATACACGTTAATGGGACATACAGACACACAAGACAGTGTAACATAGAAACATACATGTTAAAGAAAAACTTATTAAAGTTACCGAACACATAAGTTAAATAAAAACAAGAAAATAAGGATTTGAAGAAAGCCTATATTGGCTTTCTTCAAATCCTTATCTTCCTATTATCCTGTATCTAAATAGGAGCTGCCATACGAGGCAGCTCCTATTTATTTCCACCCAAATACATCCACACACACACACACACACACATATATATATATATATATATATATATATATATATATATATATATATATATATATATATATATATATATATATATATATATATATATGACAGTGTCAGACCACGGAGGAAAATTGAAACAGGAATTTCCTTAAGTACTTTCGTATATTAATACATCTTCAGAGGGAGTGACTCCTTCTGAAGATGTATTAATATACGAAAGTACTTAAGGAAATTCCTGTTTCAATTTTCCTCCGTGGTCTGACACTCACATTTTTAATCACGTGTTTATTTTTCGGAATTTACACACACACACTCATATAATATATATATATATATATATATATATATATATATATATATATATATATATATATATATATATATATATATATATATATATATGCAATTGACGATCATAAAACACTGATCATTTTATGCGGAAAATCCACAGAGAAATATGAAATGAGGTGAACGTTTCGGCTTTGTTAAAGCCTTTGTCAACACCAGACTGACTGACTGATAGACTGAGTCAGTCTGGTGTTGACAAAGGCTTTAACAAAGCCGAAACGTTCACCTCATTTCATATTTCTCTGTGGATTTTCCGCATATATATATATATATATATATATATATATATATATATATATATATATATATATATATATATATATATATATATATATATATGTTAGGTTAGATTAGGTTAGGTGTTTAGGTTCTGTTGGCGAATATTTGTATTTGTAGTACGTGGGTGAAGCATTTATAGCGTTGTGATTAGAACAAAATTCGTCAGTGAAGCACTTGTTCCGGAAGTGTTCGAACGTCATTCGGTTCAGTTCGTACCGTTGTTCGTACCGTTGTATCGTACCGTTAACACCATTGCATTACAATGATAACGAATGATATAGGTGGCAGTGATGTTGCAGGTGACCAGTGGTGGTGTACCAGCCCTTAGGCACCTTGTGTGGCAGCGAGGCCCTCCTGTACAACCCGTCTGTGGGGGCAGGCATTAGGCATTCAGTGCAGGCGTAGGTGCATTGGCGCCTCTACCAAGAGGGGAGGGGAGGGGAGATGGGGGAGGGGGGAGGGGGGGGAGGTGTGGCCAAGAGGGAGGGAGGGAGAGAGAGGGAGGCTTCATCACGTCCAAATACATCGTTAGATGCATCAATGCACCTGTGGCCTCTCCCTCCCTCCCTGACCCCCACCCCCTTCCCTTCCCCCCCCCCCCGGAACCTGTGTATGGGGGGGGGGCGGGAGGGGGGGGGGGTTGCTGTGACAACCCTAAGACAGGTCCAGAGACTCGTGAAACCTCTCCCAGGAATGTACGCTCTTGTGCTTTTTGAGTCGCAGAGCTCTGTCCCCTCCGGTTTGACATGTTCCTGCTGAGTATCTTCAGGTTAACGATGATTCCCCGAGGGAAGTGTAGTGCCAGGGTGTGTGACGCCTCCGTCACATGCCAGACCTTTATATGTTATGAACAGACAGACAGACAGACAGACATGTCAGAGACAGAGAGAGAGAGATAGACAGATGAGAGACAGCCACCACCGTCCATGACGACGCTGACATGACAGGCGAGAGCCAGTATACCTCACACGCATACCCGCAGTATACCTCACACGGTGTATACACTCTCAAGTATACTGTAAACACAAACACACAACACAAACACACAACACAAAAGCCCTCCCAGGGCGGCGCTCCACACAACACAAACAAAAGCCCCCAATAAGCCCATTAAGGTCGACACCTGTTCCACCAAACACAGAATCGAACCCTCAAACAATGAGGAAAAAACAAATCGAATCATCTCACCATCGACCCTTCGAACACCAGGCTGTTAGACTCCCCTGGGATTATATATATATATATATATATATATATAGATTGGATTTGAAACAGTGTGGCAGAGCCTAGCGCAATGTGGTGGGGAAGGAGTGGGGGGTGAGGGGGGAGGGGAGGTGACAACCTGCAGCCCTGACCACCATAAAACATTCAAGACAAGTAAAGCTTCATATATTGGTATTATCTCTTGTTCAGCTGGTCATTAGCCGGCTGGGGGGAGGGAGAGGAGGAGGAGGTGGGGTAGTAAGAGGGGGGGATAGTGGGGGAGGGGGAGGGGAGGAAGGGGGAACAAATCCACAAGGGCCGTGACGAGGATTCGAACCTGCGTCCGAGAGCATCCCAGACGCTGCCTTAATTGACTGAGCTACGACAGGGGAGAGTCAACAGTGGCGGGGAAGTTTGTCCGTCGTGTTGGGCGACATATGTGGCGGGGCGGTTTAGGGCAGGGGGGGGGGGCATTCAGGGCGGGTAGGGGAGGGGCGGGGGGCGCGGCGGGGGAGAGATTGCCTCTGTGTGGGGAAATTTCCCCGCGTGATTGACAAATTAGAGCTGAGCCCTTCAAGTGATAACCCATAATTAATACATTTAACCTTCAATTTGCATAATGGAACTAAATTACAGGAATTATTAAAAAAATATCGATCCCTTACGAAGGAGTCGCGGTACTGAACACGATGACGGAGACCCCCAAGGCCTGGCACCAGCGGGGATCGAACGCCAACCCTGCAAGCAGCTTATCCATCGCTATTTCGGCCAGATCAGAGGCCAGACCCGGGCTGCCATGACCTCGTGACCTCCACTCATCAGTGTTGACCCCGGGCCGCCATTCATCAAGACTAACTCACCCACTACGGAACCAGTGCATCTCTCAACAACCCCCATGGCTTTGTTTACGTAATTACACCCATAGTTGACGCCCCGAAGCACCATGAGGTTGTTTATAACAACAATAACCTTGAGTTGTGAAGTTTACAGGCGGGTAAACTTGTCAACAAGGCCGCCATGAGTAAGGAAAGATGCACAGGTTTCGCAGCTGGGTGTGTAAATGCTTGAGGAACGCTGCCGCCGGCGGGTAATGACCCTACCACCACCTGACCTTCCTGGCGGAGAGGTCACGTGTCGCACCACACAAGGGGCTTGTCATGGTGAGAGGGGCGGGGTGAGGGCATGTCGTAGGCCCAACCTGTTTCCCGGCCTCGTTGTCACCGTGTCCGCAATGGCACCGCCCCAAAGAGCAGCCCATCATGTAGCCGGGATCAGGAGACACGATACACCAGCCACTTACATGTCCAGTTACGAAACAAGTGCATCTTTCCTCGATCACTTTGGCTTAGTCTGTATTTATTAACACGTTAACGAGGTCGGAAACAACCTGGAAGTGCCTTGGGGCTCGTAAACTGTTTAATGTAAACAAGCCGCCATGCATGAGGAAAGATGTACAGGTTTCGCCAGTGGTGGCGTAATACGTCCTGGCCCAGGTCCTCATGTCTGGAGCCAAGTAGCTCTGGGTCACACAACAGCGGCAGGTCCGGCTATACAACAGTGATCATGTTCTAAACAAGTCCTTTTGTTGGGTTCTCGCCAGGTTATTATGAGGAGAAAGCGCTAAGCCCGTGTGACTACATAGCACTTGGAAGGGATACTAGACAGACTAAGAGCTAGGATATGAGGACAAGGAGCTGGGGCATTAGGACAAACATATGTGCTATACTAGACCTAGAAATATTTAACTTTCGTTTTTAGCTTCATTTTCCCGAACTCGATACAGTGAAACGTACCAAATTCTAGCATCTAAGTGTCCACCACGTCAATATATGTACGGTGCTGCACATAGTTACAAAACGTACTATCTAAACAAGAGGAGGACGGGCTCACTGATAACATCAACCAACACAAACACTCACAGCAAACAGGTAAATTACACACTAAACTAATGGAGGGAAAAACGGATAGAAACGCTACAGAAAAGTGGCAGAAGCTTTATAGAAAACTGACCTCATTATTATACAGCAATAATAACTAGAGTTATTATTATTATTATTATTATTATTATTATTATTATTATTATTATTATTATTATTATTATTATTATTTTCTACCACAGACGTGGCCAGACATTTACAATGCTAACCAGCATATATACATGTGCAGGCAATGAGTCACAATAACGTGGCTGAAGTATGTTGACCAGACCACACACTAGAAGGTGAAGGGACGACGACGTTTCGGTCCGTCCTGGACCATTCTCAAGTCGATTGTGAGACTTGAGAATATTCCAGGACGGACTGAAACGTCGTCGTCCCTTCACCTTCTAGTGTGTGGTCTGGTCAACATATATAAATGTTCTTCTGTCCTCCATGGACAGGGTGAGAGATCTGTTAAACATTTAGTTCAGTGTTTTATTGACCAGTCAACCACACAAGGTAATAATAATAATTATTGAAATATATATAACTAATGGTGCAGCGACAACACGACTTCTACTCTCTGTTGCAGCGAAAGAAAACGGGAAAGATGAGACTCAGATAAGATTTAACTGAACACAGAGAACATGTATAACCCCTAAAAAAGTCAATAATAATATTATAGGATATCAACAGCATTCAGAGAGAAGTCAATTAATGGAAGAAAACGGGAAGTAGAGCCAAAGAAAACGAGTTTGACGTACCTGGTTGTCGGAGGTGAGGGCTGTGGGCGTCGAGGGGAGACTTGCTCATACCCAGACTGTTGTGGGGGTACCCTGTGGGGCAGAGAGAGGGGGGGGGGGTTAGTGTTAGTCTCTCTCTCTCTCTCTCTCTCTCTCTCTCTCTCTCTCTCTCTCTCTCTCTCTCTCTCTCTCTAAATATATTCACAAGTAACGTGGAAAAGTAATAAGTTATGTTAACTTTAATTGATAATTGATTGATGAAGATTAAGCCACACACACACACACACACACACACACACACACACACACACACACACACGTGTAAAGTGTGTGTGTGTGATTCGTGATAAAGATTCTTGTGTAAAGAATCATTCAGAACTTTATATACCACGTATGTCAGGCCAATCCTGGAGTATGCAGCCCAAGCATGGAGTCCATATCTAGTCAAGGATAAGACTAAACTGGAAAAGGTTCAAATGTTTGCCACCAGACTAGTACCCGAGCTGAGAGGTATGAGCTACGAGGAGAGACTACGCAAATTAAACCTCACTTCGCTGGAAGACAGAAGAGTTAGGGGGGGACATGATCACCACATTCAAGATTCTCAAGGGAATTGATAGGGTAGATAAAGACAGGCTATTTAACACAAGGGGCACACGCACAAGGGGACACAGGTGGAAACTGAGCGCCCTAATGAGCCACAGAGATTTTAGAAAGAACTTTTTTAGTGTCAGAGTGGTTGACAAATGGAATGCATTAGGCAGTGATGTGGTGGAGGCTGACTCCATACACAGTTTCAAGTGTAGATATGATAGAGCCCAGTAGGCTCAGGAACCTGTACACCTGTTGATTGACAGTTAAGAGGCGGGACCAAAGAGCCAGAGCTCAACCCCCGCAAACACAACTAGGTGAGTACACAATAAAGAGCTATAAACACCACCGTATTGATAACGGGGGTAACAAGTGTCGCTTTTGTGTGTACTCACCTAGTTGTGCTTGCGGGGATTGAGCTCTGGCTCTTTGGTCCCGCCTCTGTGTGTGTGTGTGTGTGTGTACTCACCTATTTGTACTCACCTATTTGTGCTTGCGGGGGTTGAGCTTTGGCTCTTTGGTCCCGCCTCTCAACTGTCAATCACTTGGTGTACAGATTCCTGAGCCTACTGGGCTCTATCATATCTACATTTAAAAACTGTGTATGGAGTCAGCCTCCACCACATCACTGTCTAATGCATTCCATCCGTTAACTACTCTGACACTGAAAAAGTTCCTTCGACGTCTCTGTGGCTCATGTGGGTACTCAGTTTCCACCTGTGTCCCCTTGTTCGCGTCCCACCAGTGTTGAATAGTTTATCCTTGTTTACCCGGTCGATTCCTCTGAGGATTTGTAGGTTGTGATCATGTCTCCCCTTACTCTTCTGTCTTCCAGTGTCGTAAGGTGCATTTCCCGCAGCCTTTCCTCGTAACTCATGCCTCTTAGTTCTGGGACTAGTCTAGTGGCATACCTTTGGATTTTTCCAGCTTCGTCTTGTGCTTGACAAGGTACGGGCTCCATGCTGGGGCCGCATACTCCAGGATTGATCTTACATATGTGGTGTACAAGATTCTGAATGATTCCTTACACAGGTTCCTGAAGGCTGTTCTGATGTTAGCCAGCCTCGCATATGCCGCAGACGTTATTCTTTTTATGTGGGCTCAGGAGACAGGTTTGGTGTGATATCAACTCCTAGATCTTTCTCTCTGTTCGTTTCATGTGTGTGTGTGTGTGTGTGTGTGTGTGTGTGTGTGTGTGTGTGTGTGTGTGTGTGTGTGTGTGTGTGTGTGTGTGTGTGTGTGGTGTGTGTGGTGTGTGTGTGTGTGTGTGTGTGTGTGTGTGGTGTGTGTGTGTGTGTGTGTGTGTGGTGTGTGTGTGTGTGTGTGGTGTGTGTGTGTGTGTGTGTGTGTGTGTGGTGTGGTGTGTGTGTGTGTGTGTGTGTGTGTGTGTGTGTGTGTGTGTGTGTGTGTGTGTGTGTGTGTGGTGTGTGGTGTGTGTGTGGTGGTGTGGTTGTGTGTGTTGTGTGTGTGTGGTGTGTGTGTGTGTGTGTGTGTGTGTGTGTGTGTGTGTGTGTGTGTATGAACGCGTGTGAGTGTACCCGTTGAATGGGTCGAACAATAACACAGTCCTGCCTTTCTATTTAGTGTGTGAGTGTGTCACATGTGTACATGTGTGCACACACGACTGTGGCTGTGGCGTGGTCTCCTGGTCCCGCCAAGCACCTCTCCCTCTGCTACTGAACTTCCTCAATATTTGGTCCCTTTCTTTATCAATGCTCCCAAGGATCTTCTATGTCACGATCATGTCTCCCGTTCCTCATCTCATTTGTCCACTGTAATCACATTCAGTTGCCTCATTGTCTCCTCGGGGGGTAAGGTCCCGCCCGGTATAGACTCAGGAAAGTGGGATATTCCCGAACTTTTTCCAGTGCGGGTTCCATGCCGGGTCCGCTTATTCTCTTGCTGGCCTGGGGTGTTGTCCAGCCTCGCATGTGCTGCTCATCTACCCACTCTACCTCCTCTACCCCCTCTACCCACTCTACCCACACTTCACTCTACTTTGTTGGCTCCTTCATGTCTGGTCCTGCAGTCATTACCTTACATTTACTGGGATTGAAGTCGAGGTGTCACTCATCAGAGGAGCGGAGTGTGTGTGTCCGGGTGGGTGGGGGGTCCTCCACTCTCCTCTATAACCGTAGCAGCTGTGTGTGTGTGAAGTGTGTGTGGTGTTGTGTAGTGTCCCCCCCCCCCCTGAGTGTGGGTGTAGAGGTCACCCTTGAGGTACTCCACTTGTCCTGCCTCTACACTCACAACATGCTCCATCCCAGCTGTTTCTCACCTCTCTCACCCTTCCTCCATCTACACTCTCACACATTCCCCCGCCCGCTTCCTTCCTTCCCCTCCTCTCCCATCTATTTCCCCCCCCCCTTTCCCCCCCTCCCCTTCTCTCTCTCTCTCTCTCTCCCCCTCTCTCCTTCCCTCTTTATCCACACACGTCAGAACATAGTTTAAGATCCAGCCATGCGTACAGCGGAGGAGGATGGAGAGGGAGATAATGGGAGGGAGGGAGATAAAATAACAGAGAAGAGTACGAGAAAGTAAAAAAGAGACACCGAGAGAGAAATTTAATTGACTCGAACCCCCCCCCCCACTAGTTATGAGTTACGAGGAAAGGCTGCGGGAAATGCAACTTACGACACTGAAAGACAGAAGAGTAAGGGGGAGACATGATCACCATATACAATATACTCAGAGGAATTGATAGGGTAGACAAGGATGGATTATTTAACACGGGTGGCACACGCACTAGGGGACACAGGTGGAAGCTGAGTACCCAAACGAGCCACAGAGTCATTAAATAACTTTTTCAGTGTCAGAGTAGTTAGTAAATGGAATGCATTAGGCAGTGATGTGGTGGAGGCTGACTCCATACACAGTTTCAAGTGTAGATATGATAGAGCCCAATAGGCTCAGGAACCTGTACACCAGTAGATTGACTGTTGAGAGGCGGGACCAAAGAGCCAAAGCTCAACCCTTACAAGCACAACTAGATGAGTACAACTATCACAACTAGATGAGTCTCCTGCTATCGCTGTATCTATCGATGATTTCTGTTTGTTATTTGCTAAGATTTCTCTGGTGATGGTTTGGTTGTGGGAAGAGATTATATGTTCCTTAATGGAGCCCTGTTGCTTATGCATTGTTAATCGCCTGGAAAGAGATGTTGTTGTCTTGCCTATATACTGATTTCTTTGGGGCTGATTCTGTTTGGTGTATATATATATATATATATATATATATATATATATATATATATATATATATATATATATATATATATATATATATATATATATATAAGGCACAACTCTCCTAAACACGAGAGTGAAGTATAGAACTTTAGAACACTTTCCCACCAGGAGACTCGAACCCTAGCCAGCACAGAAGCCTTCCAGCAACTGGCATAACAGGTACGCCTTAACCCGCTCCACCACCAGCTCAGACCCTTAAAAGAGATGGTAATTTCGGAGTATTTAAATACACCAAAGATCACCACCTCCCAAGAGCACTAGAGCAAGTGAGGGGTCATTTAGACGTTAATTTCATCAAGTCCCTGTTAATATGGGAAGACACAGTGTCTATGCTTAAGGCACAACTCCCATATTAACAGGGACTTGATGAAATTAACGTCTAAATGACCCCTCACTTGCTCTAGTGCTCTTGGGAGGTGGTGATCTTTGGTGTATTTAAATACTCCGAAATTACCATCTCTTTTAAGGGTCTGAGCTGGTGGTGGAGCGGGTAAGGCGTACCTGTTATGCCAGTTGCTGGAAGGCTTCTGTGCTGGCTAGGGTTCGAGTCTCCTGGTGGGAAAGTGTTCTAAAGTTCTATACTTCACTCTCGTGTTTAGGAGAGTTGTGCCTTAAGCATAGACACTGTGTCTTCCCATATTAACAGGGACTTGATGAAATTAACGTCTAAATGACCCTCACTTGCTCTAGTGCTCTTGGGAGGTGGTGATCTTTGGTGTATTTAAATACTCCGAAATTACCATCTCTTTTAAGGGTCTGAGCTGGTGGTGGAGCGGGTTAAGGCGTACCTGTTATGCCAGTTGCTGGAAGGCTTCTGTGCTGGCTAGGGTTCGAGTCTCCTGGTGGGAAAGTGTTCTAAAGTTCTATACTTCACTCTCGTGTTTAGGAGAGTTGTGCCTTAAGCATAGACACTGTCTTCCCATATTAACAGGGACTTGATGAAATTAATGTCTAAATGACCCCTCACTTGCTCTAGTGCTCTTGGGAGGTGGTGATCTTTGGTGTATTTAAATACTCCGAAATTACCATCTCTTTTAAGGGTCTGAGCTGGTGGTGGAGCGGGTTAAGGCGTACCTGTTATGCCAGTTGCTGGAAGGCTTCTGTGCTGGCTAGGGTTCGAGTCTCCTGGTGGGAAAGTGTTCTAAAGTTATATATATATGTCGTACCTAATAGCCAGAACGCACTTCTCAGCCTACTATTCAAGGCCCGATTTGCCTAATAAGCCAAGTTTTCATGAATTAATGTTTTTTC